CTTATGAAATTCCCCAGCTTGACTCTTTCAATAAAAACAAAAATAAGAAGGTAAGATGATTAAATATCACAAGCGTCGTTCCTCCCTTTAAAAACTAAAACAAGATAAATCTTGGATCATTTTAGCAAATTGTGTGGAATATCTCAATTTTAATATTTTACCCGTTGTCCTCGACGCTGATAACGTCTCCAGACATAACACTACTCACAGAGGAAATCACCATAAAATAATAGGCGGAGAGTAGGATAAATGAGCAAGGAAAATTTTGATTTACCACCGCCCACGGCGAACGTCAAAAATAATGTTTTTTTTTCAATTTGAAAATCGCAATCATGACTAGCGTTTCAGAAATTGAATAAAATTGTTAAAACATAAGAAATTGAGGAAGAAATCGAGGTGTCCATTTTACCCTGTTTTTTTCTTATGACGCAGTCTTATGAGAATGTGTTGGTTTTTCCGACCTTCAAATGAAGTCAGAAGAGTAGATTTGATCGAATTCAACTCATTATTTAAATCTGGTGTCCATATTGCCCCACCCTCCCCTGTAACAATATCTCGAATAAAAAAAAAATTCGACGAAATTTTAAGGTGTTCGAGAACGTTCTAAAAAATTCTAGGAAAATTCTCTGATTTTCGAGAAAATTATAGGGATATCCTTGGCGGACCAAGGTGATAGTTGGACTCTCCATAATTTCCTGTGTTTGAGAGAAAATTGCGAGTCAGTTGAGAGTCGGAGTGACGAGGCCAAATCCGATCTCTTTACTATCGACTTTTTTTAACCCGTCAGTAGGTGCGCGGTTCCATCATCATTCTTGAGACGCGCGATGAGGAAATCGCTCATCGGCTTCTCGTAATAATAGAGCCAAATATCGCCATAGACAGTGCTATTCGGCGTTCTGCGGCACGAGCGCCGTACCCGTAACACGTGGAAAATTTCGACTGTGTCGAAGACAACATTATTTTTCTACTCAACCCTGACAAATAGACGACTTTTATCACCACGAGAGCCAAATAGCAGAGTTACTTGAGGCATATAAAAAAAATTCAGCAAAAGATTGGCGCTTGTAGGGTATAATTCCTATGGAGTGAAAATTTTTGTGAGGAAATCGCTCATAGCGCACCTAGTGACGGGTTAAAATAGACAATTAGATCATTTTTAGTGACTTCTTCAATTTCAATCAGCTTTTTTCAGAATTGAAAATTTGATTTTGGAATTTTGATTCTGAACTCTCTCTGAATCGATTCTCTATTTTTTTAATAGTTGACAGTTGGATTTTTTATTCTCTATTGTCTTTCAATCGACTTAACTTTTTTGATTTTCAATTATCTCACAATCTACTCTCACCTTCTATGGGAATTGAAAATTGAATTTTTTTCTTCATGAAAATAGGATTTTTTATTATTAATTCTCTCTCAATCTACTGGAAAATTTTTGTGAAAGTTAAGATTCGGATTTTTTGCTTCCGAAAGCAAGCCCTGATGTATTCGTTAAATCTGAAATTTTCATTTTTTGTGCTAGGGTGAGTAATTTTGGTCTTAGGAGTTCGAATATATAGTTTTTAGATCATGTCCATATATATGTATGTATGCGCGTATCTGATTTTTTTTTCAAATTTAGTTTTTCGACGATCATTCAAAAAATAATCGCCGAAATCTTTTCAAGTAAGGCTTAAAATATTCTTTCGGCTGTTACCTCGGTCGAGTTCGAAGATAGCGGCGATCGCCTCATTTGCTTTGAAATTATAACTTAAAAAGCATTTAATCGAGGTTTAATGAGAGTTTAATCGCGGCTTAATCAGGGTTTAACCAAGGTTTCGTCAAGGTTAAATCAAGATTTAATTAACAGGTCCCACGGTCAAGCCAAGGTTGACCCGTAGTCAACCCAAGGTTGACCCATAGTCAACCCAAGGTTGACCCATTGTCAGCCCAAATTTGACCCGTGGTCAAACCAAGATTGATCCATGGTCAAGCCACGCCGGACCCATGGTTAAGCCAAGGTTGATTCATGGTCAAGCCATGCTTGACCCATGGTTAAGCCAAGGGCGATCCATGGTCAAGCCAAGGCTGACCCATCGTCAAGCCAAGGCTGACCCATGGTCAAGCCAAGGCTGACCCATGGTCAGGCCAAGGTCGACCCATGGTCAAGCCAAGATTGACCCATGGTCAAGCCAAGGTGGATTGATGGTCAAGTCAAGGTGGACCCGTGGTCAAGCCAAGGTTGACTCGTGGTCAAGCCAAGGTTAAACCAAGGCGAAGCTAAAGTTGACCCAAAGTTGACCAAATGTCAATGGAGAGTTAGCCCAAAGTTGACTCACGTTCAACCTTGATCGTGATCTTTCTAGGGTCTAATGAATGGCCAAGAGTCGATTTTCACATTTTTCGCTTTTTTCGGCTCCTGTTCCTATTTAATTTTAAAAATTTCTGTTCACTAGAAATTTCATTTCAAATTATCTTTGAAAAAAGAAATCTATTAAAATTGTCCTGGGATTAATTTTCAATTCCGAAAAAGTTGATTGGAAATAAAGATTTTCAAAAAAGTTGATAATATTGAGAGGGGCTAGCATAAAATGCATTGTACTCCTCGTCGCTCCAATCCTCAACTAACTCTCAATTTTCTCTCAAACACTGGAAATTATTGAAAGCCCAACTATCAACTTGGTTCGCTAGAGTCATTCCTATCATTTTCTCGAAATCCAGAAAATTTTCTTGGAATTTTCTTGAAAACCTAAGAATTTTTAAGAACCGCGTATGAAAAATTTTAATAGAAAAATGTAGCGAATTTGTTAGGAATTTCTATTGTGAATTTTCTACTAGTTTTGGCCGATTCTAGTAAAATGTTCAATAGAATATATTCAATAGAAACAGTCAGTGGAATTCGATTTTTCTATGTAACATATCCTCTTCAGATATTCTCTATAGAATGTCCTTGGCTCAAATTTTCCAAGTTTTTTTTCATTCTATTTTCCTTTTGTTCTCATCAAGAAAATCAAACAAGAGAAGCGGAAATTCTATAGAAAATATCCCAAAAGAATAAGTTAAATAGAAAACAAATGGAATTCTATTGACTTTTTCTATTGAATATTTTTTGTTGAACATCTCAATAGAATCGGCCAAAAACTAATTGAGGGTCCCGTGTGAGACGCGGTACAGTACGGACGTGTTTTGATCGTGCTCCGATAAGTGTACGTGGTTTCATTCAACATGCCTTAGCTGCAAAGCTGAGGCCACTGAATTCAATTAAACCAATAATTCTAACTGCATGGAAGACGAGGAAGGAAGTCGGTGGGAGGAGGAGGAGGACAGGGGTTTTTTTAACCCGGTTCTTTGCTGGAAGTTCCCTGGTTCCAGGGTCTTCAAACCAACATGGAAACAACACCACAGCAATCATCTCAAAGTTCACCACAGAATAGATCCACGCAAAATAGCTCCCAGGTCAGTTACTCAGTAGCGATGAAACGCGCCAAGAAAATCAATTGCGAAAGTGCAATCATCATTGAAAACACAGTGCAAGTTAGCTATGAAGAATATTTAGAAGCCCTATTAAGATATGTCCCAGGTTCCAAAATTTCCACGTTGAAACCATCGATCAATAATCGTCTCATTGTCTGGCTCGACAGCAAACAAACTGTCGATGAGCTCATCACAACAACGAATCACTTAATAGTAACCCAACAGATTGTCAACATTCGCCCATACGTCACTAGGAGCAAAAGAATAACATTCTCCCCAGTCTCTCCAGAAGTCGACGATGAGGTGATCATCGCGGTTTTATTGGAGAGTGGGATAATAACAAAAGCACCGATTACCTCCGTCAATGCAGGATTCAAAAACAAAGAGCTCTGTCATATTAACTGGGCCAAAAGGCAAACCTATATTGATCCCGAAGATGTTCCAAAATTACCCACCAGATTTGCCGTCCAGGTAGACGGCAAGGACACCTGGGTGTACGTCGTCCACGACACCAACACATATCACGTATGTAAGAAGGAGGGTCATTTCGCAAGGAACTGCCCCTCGAAATTCAATTCACTCAACCTAGTAACAGGACCCCAATTAATAACAGATGACCAATCATCCACACAAATGACAGAAAACATTAACAACGAGCCCCTTCCCCCAACGACACCCAGGGTCCCTGACAATACTAGTAATACAACGCTGACCCAGACCCTCACCTCATCCGGTACTCAAAGGAATAACACCCACGATAAGCCGATTCTCCCACCATCTGCCAATGAAACCAATGATGATCTTCAACCCAACTCTCAGAGCAGCTGGACCACAGTGACGAGGAAAAACAAGAATCCCCCCTCTACTGTCTCATCATCAGGTCATAAGATCGGAGTTCAGACTGACGACGAGGAATCGGATGAGCAGTGCAATACCAGAAGTGAACGAAACAGCAAACACATTGCTAAAAAAACCAAGATCAGTCTAGATGCAGAGCAGATAAACGAAGTACATCAAAAAACTAAGGACGAGAACTGGAGCGGAGTTGAATCACTGTTGAACCAGGACGACGAGACTGATTTCCCACTAAACTTGAAACAAGTACAGGAGTATCTCCATGGTTATGGAAAACTAGACAACGCAGTCAATCATGCTCTCAAATTCACGCCAAACCTTCTAGGAATGAGCGACATGCTCACCTACGTTCAAAAAGCAATTCCACCAAGATTCAAGAATTCCCTCCCGAAGATCATCAAAAGGCTCAGCGTCCAGGCCAAAAACTCCCCAAAACCAGCAGCTCCAATGAACCCAGAGATAATTACAACGACTGATACTGACTTCCCCGACGGATCCATCCCTCCGGAGGACCCTGACGATGCGATGGACTTCGCGGAAGAACTCCCTTCTCCTGAAAAGGACAATGTCTCCAAAGGGATGGAGGAACAATAAACACTTTATTCCATTATACTTCAACCAAAATGATTCCAGAATCAGACAGTTTTGAAAGTAATCTTAGAATAGAGTGCTGGAACTGCCGAAGCGCAAAAAGAATGAAAGAAGAAATACCAATCTGGCTGAAAGACCTTGACATCTTGATACTCCTCGAGTCCAGACTCAGTGCTAACACCACGGCACCCACCAAATTCCAATTTGCAGGTTTCGTCACATTTCGAAAGGATAGAGAGACAGACATCGGCGGTGGCATCCTCATTTTCATTCGACAAAGCATAGCCTTTATAATAAATGACACCAAGTACCTGGCAGCAATATCGAATTGGCCTCCATCAAAATCACCAACACCAGACCCAACATAAACATATTTGTCTGTTACAGACCGAAGGGAGCCCTGTCCCAAGAGGGATGGAACCGCTTGGTCACCTATGCTAATGAGAATGAACAATCTGTACTCCTAGGTGACTTTAACGCACATCACACAGCTTGGAACTGCTGGAGCTAGAATACCAATGGTAGGAGGTTCTTGAAGGCAATAGAGGATCAGGACCCAGCCCTCTTCATACACAATACGGAAACACTCACACACGTGGACCCTCGCGACAATCGAAGGAAATCCAAGATCGACCTGATTATTTCGACCATCGATGTAGCTGATAGGCTTACCTACAACATTGGAGACGAACTCTGCGGCTCGGACCACTACCCATTACGACTGACAATTAGCGTAGAAAAAAATTACCACAGGAAAAAGACTTTCAAAATCTATACAAAAAGCACTGAATGGGACAAAGTCCACGAGGAGCTGGAGACGAGTTACGAGACCTTTCTGTCTCGGGAATTTGACATCAGCAGCCCAGTCGAACAGTACAACACCTTCGTCAACACAGTTAAGGAAGCCATACGGAAGCACACACCGAAGAGGAGGGAACAGAAGCCCAAGAACCCCGAGACGACTAATAAGAGACAAAAAGAACAGGATAATCCGTGCAAATGGTGGGACAACGAGTGTAGCAAGGCCAAACGGCTACGAAGAGCTGCTGAGAGAAAATGGGAATACTCGAACAGTGAAGCAGACCGCATCAAATACAACCGAGCCTCAGCCCAAGCAAAGAAACTATTCAAGAAAAAGAAAAGGCAACACTTTCAAGAGTTTGCTCAGAGTCTGGACAGCAGAAGCAACGGCAGTTTCGTATGGAATACTTCCAAAATTCTCAAGAACAAATGGGTCAAATTGTCTCACAACAAGGTCACCGACAATCTACAGTGGCGCAACAACATAGACAAAGCAATTAACAAAATAAGTCCAGCACATGTACCATTTGACCCTGAGTTTCTTCCAGCTAGCCAAGAAAACGCATTCCTCTCCTTTGACTTCAATTTTACAGAGTTCATTTACGCTCTGTCCACACGTAAAACTCATCGTTCCACAGGCATGGACGGATTTGACTGTCATCTTGAAAAAATTACCCGTCAAGTATCACCTGATCCTGCTGGACATCTTCAACAACCTCTACAGAGCCGAAGAATATCCAGAGGATTGGATACACCACTTCATCCACTTTATACCCAAAACTGGTGGGTCGGATGTTAGACCCATAGCTCTGGCTCCATGTCTGGCCGAACTGTTTGGAAGTTTGCTGAAAATCAGACTGGACTGGTGGTTAGAGCACCACGACAAGATCACCAACAGTCAAACGGGCTTTCGCAAGGGAGTATCCTGCCATAACAACCTGGTGAACCTATCCTTCGGTCAATGAAGCTCTTGCAAGACAACAACATGTTCTAACAGCCTTTCTAGATGTCAAAGGAGCTTTCGACAATGTAAACCCTCAAATTCTGCTCAGCAAACTGGCCAGCATCGGCTTTCCCAAAAAGGTGCTAAAATTCATTCGTTTCCTGATCTCTCAACGTTTTATCCAAACCATCAATCAGGAAGAAACTCCCAGAATGGTGTACCAAGGTGTTCCCCAGGGTGGTGTCCTCAGCCCCCTACTATACTCTTTATATGTCTCCAATATCACCAATGATCTTCCAACTAAGGTGTCGATATCACAATTTGCAGATGATATCGCTGTTTACACTCACGACCAAGACCTGGACATTTGTGAATCCACGTTAGAAGGAGCTATCAACGCAATCAAAGGTAAACTAGCAGAGCTGGGTCTAGATCTTGCTCCTCAAAAGACACAACTACTCCACTTCAACAACCAATGTATCACGCCTGGGCACTCGGAAATCACCGTCGATGGACATACTATACAGTCGTGTGAAACATCCAGATTTCTGGGTGTCTGGTTCGACTGGAGGTTCACATTCAACCAACACATCGAACGCGTCCGTCAGAAGTGTCTCAAATCTCTAAACATAGTAAAATATCTCAGAGGCACCTGGTGGGGGAGCGATCCCCGCACACTCTTACTACTCTACAAAAGCTTCGTCAGATCAGTGATGGACTATGGACTCTTCATCTACTACCCTAAGACTGCCAAACTCAGGAATGTGCTAGAGAGTCTACAGTATGAAGCGATTCGGGCTGCAATGGGGTATAGGAAAACCACGCCAACGAACGTTCTACTAGGCGAAACAAAGCTTCCCCTCATTGAACATAGAGCAGAATTTCTCTGCAAAAACTTCCTTGTCAAGATCTCCATCAACACATCACTCCAACTCAACAACACTATCAGGAATTTCGTTTCGAGAGGGCGACGCAGGAACGCAAAAAAATATGAGCGCCTGTTGAACTGGGGGTTAGCAGAAATCACCCCATTACTTCCCAATCTATACATCTACGACAAATTTAACATCTACAGAATCAGGTATAGAGATGTAATGACCGCCATGAAAGTTGATGTATCAACAGGAAAAAACAAGGGAGATGAAAAAGAGAAATTAACTATCCAACAAATCATCGACAGCGAGAATGACGACACATACTGTATTTACACGGACGGCAGTAAAGTAACGGGGAATCCTTTCACTGGGTCAGCCTGCTTCTGTCCAAGACTCAATATTGAGATCATTCGCAGCCTCAACCACCAGTGCTCTGTCTACACAGCAGAATGTCTCGCTCTTCACATAGCCATGGATACAGCCTTGGATCACCCTGAAAAAAATTTCTACATCCTCACAGACTCTATGAGCGCCCTACAAGCCCTTGAGCACCCGAAAATGACCATCAGAGAGAACGACCACCTGCTCCAAGTAAGAATCAAATATAACAAATTTCTTGAAACATGTGACAGAAGACGATTCATCAAATTTGTCTGGATCCCATCACACTCTGGGTACGAGGGCAACGAATATGTAGACTGGTTAGCCAAGTGGGGAACTACAGCAGCGGACACTGTCATCAGCAGAATCCCCTTCACCGACTTCACGGAGTTGTTCAAGAGGGAAATGAAACAAAACACCATCGACCACATAGTAGAAATGGCCTCCCCTGAGACTCAAAAACCAAAAGGGAAAGCATACTTCCAACAGTTTTTCTCCAGAAGTGCCAAACCTTGGTTTGAGAGATTTCCCGACTTCAAGAGAGAACAAATAGTATGGGTCAACCGAGCAAGGGCTGACCACTACAACCTGAACAACTCATTAGCCCGGACCCACATCATCCCACCTACTCCGTGGCCTTGCGGACATAAAGTTCAGGACCTAGACCACATACTATGGAACTGTCCCCAGTATGCAGAAGACAGGAAAGCTCTCCTCAAAGAGATCAGAAAAAGCAACCCTGGCCCACCAAACATCCAGGACATTTTAGGTGCCCTCAGGCGACGAGACATCAAAGCAATCTCAAAATTCTTGAATAACTGTTCAATTCAAATTTAATGTGCTTACAAGACATCGCAGAGGACTAATTCCACGAGAAGTTTAATAATATATTATGATGTAAATAATTAATTGTATTTCTATCTTGACAGCTGAATGAGCCCGATAAGGGGCTTGGAAGCTTAAATAAAAAAAATAAATGAAAAAACTAATTGAGAGTTCAATAGATATCCAATAGAATTTTCTAACCAATTCGCTAGGTAAATATTTCTATTAACCCTCGATCACTCGCACTCGGCCGCCAGCCTTCGTTCATCGCACGGTTAGCGCAGCGCCGCTGGAGTAAACGAACGCGCTGTTGCCATGTTGGTGCCTACCGCTACGTGCGTCTTTCAAATGTGGCAATGAATGAAGCAGTAAATGTAGCTCGCTCGAGTGGTCGACAGAGATTCACTCGCACCGGACGGAATGGCGCGGCGGGCTTTTCTGTCCCTTCGACGTTTCTTTTTTTTTAGCTAAACAAATTTTTCGAGAAAAAAACAGACAATGCCAACGCCCAATAAAAAGATTGAACTAGGAACTCTAATTTTTCAGAATTTTTAAGCGTCAAGAAACACAAAAATATAAATAGACAAAAACGGGCGGCGCCGCGCTCATTGAACGAGTAATCGCGGGTTAAATTTTTTCATCCGTGACTTTTTAAAAAACCCAAGCATTTTCTAGAATTTTTATAAAACTGGAGAATTTCTTCGAATTTTTCAAAGAATCGGAGAATTCTCTCGAAAACTTTTTGAGAATTGAATTGAGTTGGTTTTTTTTGTTGATTATTTTTGGTAATCGGATCTGGCCTTCCCTGGGCCAATCAGAGTTCAGTATTTAATAACATGAAGTACTTCCCAATTAAAATTACAGCGGTTATTACCCCCTAGCTTTTGATAATTTCCCTCTAGCTCTGCAATTGTTTCTCTAACCAAATAACTGTCAAATATTATTCTTTGGAGTGAAAGAAAGTCATGAAGAAAGTCAAAATGAGTCGGTTTGGGAAGGATCCGTTTACCAAAAATAATTCGTCGAATACTACTCGACCTCCAAAATTAATCGGACATTTCCCTTATGTTTTCCTGCGTATCAACCATCGGGATAAGTTTTGCACAAAAAGTTTTAATCTGCAAAATTTCTCCCTCTCGTTGCTACGCAACAAAACAATCGAGAAATATCCGATAATTTTGGAGGTCTCGATGGATTACTACAGATTATTTTTCTCGCTCGGATTTCAGCCAATCAGAGCGCAGTATATGAGGCTGCCAAACAGTTTTATTTCGGAAATTTCTCAAAAACTTCGACGGAAACTCACTAGCAGCTCTTCAAATGTTTCTTATCTTTCAACGCATTTCACGTTTAATATTCTGTCTGACAGATAAACGAAAAAGTGGGTTATAAATGTATGGCTGTGTAAATGTATCCGGGTGTTGTTCACTGCCCTCTGCTTGGCCGAAATCCGAGTGGAAAAATAACCCGTCAAATACCACTCGTGCTCCAAAATTAATCGAATATTTTTTTATAGCTTCGTTGCCTAGGAACGAAGCTATCGGAAAATATCCGATTATTTCGAAGCACTAGTGGTATTACTACTGAAAACAGGATTTTTGATTCTCAATTAGTTCTGAATGGTTTCAAAAAAATTGAGAGTTGGATTCTTGATTTTCAATTAACTCTCAATTCACAGAGTAGATTGCCAAGTAGCAAACCTTGCGAAAGATATCTGAAAGTATACCAAAAAGGCTGACTAATGTCTGTCCAAAAGGTATCCTGCAGTCATACCATAACTTTTAGTTCACTTCTAGGTAACTTCTAGACACAAGTTACCTTTTTGGACAGACATTAGACAGCCTTTTTGGTATACTTGCAGATACCTTCCAGAACTGTGCTGCTTGGGTTGGTAGACAATTGAGCATCGAAAATCCAACTCTCAACTCTCAAAAAAGTTGAGGGTATATTCAGAGATACCTGAGAATCAAAATTCAAAAATCAAATTTTCAATCCCGATAGTAAAGTTGATAGTAAAAGAGGGCGACTGGCATAAAATGCATTTTACGCCTCGTCACTCCAACTTTCAACTAACCCTGAATTTTCTCTCAAAAACCAGAAATTATCCAGAGTCCACCTCTCAATGTGATCTGGAAGAGCCAAGTTTCCAAGAGCGTTCCAGAAAATTCTCCGGCTTTCGAGAAAATCCGTCGATTTAAAAAAAAAATCGAAAAAATTCTCCAATTTTCCTAAAAATTTCGAATTAATGTTCCAGTTTTGTAAAAAAAATTGAGAAAGTTATTGGGTTTTTGGGAACGTTCTAGGAAATTCTCCGTTTTTCTAAAAAATTCAAGGAAATTCAAGGTAATTCTCTGATTTTCTATTAAATTGCATGAGGTTCGCCGATTTTATCATAAGCTCGGAAGAATTCTACGGTTATCTAACAAATTCGGTGAAATTTATCGATTTTCTAATAAATTCGGGGAATCCTCTGGTTTTCTAGAGAATTCGACAACATTCTCCGTTTTTCGAGAAAATTCTCCAGTTTATTAAAGAATTTGCGAAAATTCCGAGTTTTTATAAAAAATTGGAGAAAATTATCCAGTTTTCTGAAAACTGAAAAAATTCTCCGGATTGCGTATGAAAAAAGAATTTTTGATTTTCAATTAACTCTCAATCTACTTTCAACTTTGTTAAGAAATGAGAATTAGATTTTTTTGTTTTTGAAAATAGCATTGTTGATTCTCAATGATTCTGAATTAGAGATGTAAAATGACAGTCATTTTTGAGATCGCGTCATGTGACCGAAAAATGACCGGCATGTGACGCACGAATTTTGTAACTACACACAATAATTTGTAAGCAAATTGTTGTCAAACCATCTATATGGATACGTAATGACCGTCAAACTCATTTCTAATTTGTGACTGTCATAAATAACATAGCTTCATCTCTAGATAGATGGAAAATCACCGTAATTTTTATTTTAAAATGCACATTAGGCTAATGCAAAATGAATTCATAGAAAAATTGATAATAAAACGATGAGCTAGTATCTGTATAGATAAAAACTGACTGTCATTTTTTCTTGGCCAATTGTAACGGCCATAGAAGGGGGGGGGGAATTGTGACAGTTGTGGAAAACGTCTCGTCATATGACCGTCAATGACGGGTCATGTAATGCATTCGCAGCTCTATCTGAATCTTAGTTTAAAAAAAAACGAATTCTCAGCTCCGTGGAAAAGTTGAGTGTAAATTGAAAGGCAATTGATGATCAAAAATTCAATTTTCAAAATGCAAATCTGAAAATAAATTGAGAGATAATTGAGAATCGAAAATCCCATTGTCAAAAAAAATCCAGTTCTCATATCTCAGAAAAACTTGAGATTAGATTGCGAGATTATTCAGAATCAATAATCCAATTTTCAACTCTAAAAAAAAGTTGGGAGTAGATTGAGAGCTAATGGAAAATCAAAAATTCAACTCTAAACTTTTTTTGCGAATTGAAAGTTAAATTTTTTTCTTTTTGAAAATCGGATTTTTGATTAGAGAATCGGCAAATTTTCTCAAAAATTTTCTATATTGGAGCTTCTTTCGAAATTTAGCGCAAATACGGTGATTTTCATTTGTTTTCTTTTGTTTTTGACAAATATTATTATTATTATTATTATTATTATTATTATTATTATTATTATTATTATTATTATTGTGGCGGTTGTAGGGTGGTGGAATACGGAGTATCGCTCCATTTCCACGAATGGGAGTGAGATGCACGAATGCTTGGTACCCGTGGGCCCTGATTGTGTTATACTCCTGAGCTATCCGCTCGACAATTCTCATTTTCGTACGCCGAGATTCGGGGGTTTCAGTGGCGCCATCTGGCACATTTCCCTATAACTGAGAGAGACAGTATGACGACAGCTAATCGCCTCAATTCCGACGCCACAGATTGTGGGAGTTAGCGACGTCTAATCCCTTCGGAACAACTCGTGTCAGTCTCATCGGGATGACCTATCACGATGACCAGTGACCAGACTGGCAAATCCAAGCCAATTGAAAGAAAAACGAAAAAAAAAGAAGAAAAAAAAAGAAAAAAAAATCAATTTGTCTGAACTTGAACTTGATCAATGCCTTTTCATTGTTCCAATTTACATGTGATTTGTTCAACATTGAAGCAACTAATTCCATCCTGATTTTCACATGTATATACTCAGTGTCTGTGCACTCCATTAATAAAACTTTCAAAATCTTCGGCGACACTCTCGCATTATTATCTCACCCTTCTACTATTTGAATTCAACAAATCAAAACCAAAATTGAAGTCTTATAAACACATTCCAGTTGAGTCGTTAAAAGAAAAATAACCGTAACAATAAACGAATCATCTAATTCAGAAAGCTATATGAAAAAATACTAGAGCCTGTCAATCTAAATTCCAATCACGTGATCCACAAATTTATCCAATTTCAACTTGGATCCAGAAAATTCCGCCGTAAAGGTTGAATTGAGTAGAATGAATTTTTTAACAACGCAAAAACAATATATCTACAATGAAATTTTCAATGGCTAGACCAAGAATTATTTTCCAGGAATATTGCCCGCGATTTCATGATTGATCTCCAGCCGGTAACTACAAAAGGAACCTTTCTGTTTTCTTATAATTAACAACTTGATATTCTCAAAAACAGTCGCCTTTGAGAGAATTCTTATCGGTCTCACCTTTATTATTCCTTTTTCATGAAATCTTCTCAATCATAACAATGCTTGCAATTTGTAATTCCACACGGCCAGTGTGGAGTTCTATTATGAGATATGTTAGAGAAAATCTTGAAGAGGGGATAAAAAACAAAATCAAAAATAAAATTTTCAACTCAAAAAATCAATTAACACTCCCCTGCGAGATAAAAACTGAAATGTGAAATCTAAATCACACCCCTTCTCAAGTTGAACTTGAGGAGCTGATACTGAAATCATTGTACAGAAAAATCATCATTGATAAAAAACAAAACAAACAAAACAAACAAGCAAACAAA